TCAAGATCGCATGCGATTGTATTCGTGCGGTCTGCTGAGAACTACGTGAAGCGGACTCGAGAGATCACGCAAAGCTGGCAATGCCTATTGAGGAACGGCCAGCTTCACGAATCAGAGCAAGGCAGACTGACACGCTTCGTATGCCGCAGGCGGGCGGCTCTGGAGGCGTTCGCCTCAAGCGAAGTACTGGGGACTTTCTAGCGTTCGACAGGTTGCCGCGCTGCACCACCCTTGGATGTACTGCGAACTGCATGGTACACTTGAAAATGGATCTTCCCCTGCACGACTTTTGGCGCCCGGTGTGGCGCTGTTCTCCAGCGTGTCGCCAGTCGAGTCGGGGCCAGGCGGCGACGTGTGCCCTATTGACTGCCTGCTGCAGCCGCACCTGTTCTCCAGTGTGCATGGCCGTGCCCATTCGACTGCCACGTTGCCCAGCTGGGTATCGCACGACGACTTGGGAAGTGGTGGTCCGCAGCTCGGTAACGCCCGCCCTTCGCCTCGGTCCAGTGGAGCACACAACATTACGAAGAAGCTATCCGAGAGATCGGATTGCCACAGGCAGGCTTTCCATCAGTGTAACGGAAGCCAGCGTGTTGGCGGACAAGATTGCTGCGGCCTCGAGACAGGCTAGGAACACACGATGATATCAGCGTGGGTCGTGATAGCAAAGACACACTAGCTTTTAGATGACCGGGCGCTACAATGTCATATACCTCTATTTGCATTACTTACATCACGTTCAATGATTCCGGTTGAAATTCAGACACTCAAGGCAGTAGGACCACGGCCAGACTTTTCTAGCGATGTCCAGCCTGTAAATCGTCGCCATCGTTGACCCCTCCGTTGTGATGCAGGCCACGCTGCCATGCTGGAAGACTTGGCAACTTCCTTCACTATGATTCGCCAGGTAGTGATGCTCAGCCGCACGAAGCTGGCGCTTACGACCCAACCCTCATTTCCGCGAGCACTCCATCTTCAGGGCGCATTCTTCCCCTCTTGCCCAATTTCAAAGTCGAAAGTAAAGGACCTGCTCAACAGGAGATGGCGAGACAAAGTAGTACTCCAACGCGACGAACAAGATGGTAAGAAAAACGGTCCGCAGTCGGAACATTCAATGACTTTCTATTGCAGCCACTACGCCAGCTTTCACCTGGTCCGCAGAACGGTGGTGAGGATGCCGTCAAGATTGAATATGTTGAATGGCCTTTTGTCTCGACGTGGCTAACTGGCTTCGGCCGCCGACGATAGGACGCCGAACCATTTAGGAGACAACCTCAAGATGGCCTATTACTAACACCACGAGCAACCGCAGCATTGGCAAAGAGTCTTGAAGGTAATGCATATGGGGATGGACAGTGGGCTTCTGGGCTTCTAGGAAGCAAGGATA